AAAACTTTCCATCGGTTTATACGAGCTGGAAACTAGGATATGGAATATTGGATCCTGACCTTGTCATTTTTGAATGTAAGTACTATCTAAAGACTCTAATCTAAGCATCCTGCTCATCGTACATCACACTTCACTTGAGACACTTCTTTAACTCACTGTAAACTCAAATTGTTAAACTCACTCTCAACCACCTCTGACTTTGGTCAAAACGTTTGTTCTCCTTGACCATCAAGATACTCTTGTTCACCATAAAGTGAAACGTCTTTATTTTTTTGATGTCCAACAGAAATCAAGTGTTTTCGACAATGACATTTATTGCTGTGCACTGCTTTACCCTAAAATGGATGGTTGTATTATTTTCTCAACTAGTTTCGGATGCAATTTACCCACTGGTTTGACATAACTTATTTATTAAACTAAGCTGGTATACGCTGCTTTCAAATATAACTTACAGTTGGTTTTGTGAGAGCAAAGTGGCACCGGACCACAACCACACAATGCTCAAAGCTGAACACGAGACTAGTCGGAAGATTGATATTCAATATTTAACGAGGAGAATTACCTAACGATGGTGAAGGCGGGAAAAAAAAGTTGAATTAATTGAAGTTGATCGAACGGCACGGCTCGGCCTTGGAGGCGTGGTCCTTGTTGGATGTTATCTTATATCTTTTATTCATAATAAATATATTGTTCTATCTCTAGCTTAAGCTTGTTCTACATTATGTATTGGTAATTGTTATGATACGATGAGTTGGTGTGGAAGATGGTATGACTTCTAAGTAAGATCATATAGATTAGGCAGTTATATCACGAAAAGTCTGCAATTTTAGGATTAGGTCTATAATTAGCGCAGTACTAATATCATAGTAGACCATAATTCTACAAGGTTTCTCCAAGTAAGAAATGAATAATCAACTGCGAACATATTAAAGCGGACGTAATAGACGTCAGTAGACAGATCATTTAGAAGGTCACTTATTCTAGGTTGACCTTTTAGTCACATCGTGAAATTGCAGCACGTAAAAAGTCACCATTATACATCGGACGGTTGAAAGCGACAAAGTTTCTTTAACTTTAGTATTCTGATAAAACGAGTGGTTCGGATTGACACATGTATGTGTCATGGATCAATCTTTTAACTTTGTTCACTTCCGATCGACCGTGCACTCGGATCAACTGGAAGCTTCTTCAACATTTTTGGAATGAACACATTGTCATGACAAAATCTGTGCTAAAACGTACCACGCATCTACATTTATTTGAGTCACATATGTGTATTCATAACACCTGCATTAATTTTTCGCGCTAAATGTTTTCAACACTTCCATCCTTCACTGCTTCAACAAGTTTCATTTTTTGCAGGTCAACTGTATACTACGATAGAGAAAACTAACAGTGTAGTACCATGAAATCTGCACCGCTTTTTATCAAGTGAAATAATATGAAATGGGCAACTATGTTTCATAGTATCATATCAACCAATAAAAGCATGGTAATAAAGTCTGACATGACATCTAAGAGTTTTCACACGTAAAACAATGTAAACAACAAAATTGATACTTCGGTAGATACCCAACGCTGATTCTGACCTCCTTAGACTCTAAGATATAAAACTTAAGTTCTTCAGCTTGAGCATGGTCAAGTTGAAAAACTCAACAGTCCGATGATATTTAAGTATACAAATATTACTGTAAGATACATGAACTATCAGATGTTTCCATTCAGTTTTTAATAGAGTTCTTCAATTTTGTACTGTCAAAATGTGTAGTCTGGAGAAATCCATGATTGGGAGCACTAATTACCTACTTATCAGTGAACATTCAGTCCCGAGAAACGTCGGAATATATTCTGTTCGTAAGCAGTAAGGAAGGACTACACACTTCAACGAAGAGAGCCAACAACGTCAGTCTTCTCATTTCCTAATCCCTGCTACATACTACTTATATTTATCTTCATAAGTAGCGCATACCACAGTTTATGTACGTGTCTACAGTAAAATGTAAGACTAAGCCTAACTCCCCTTCTTCAAAGGCGTTCTAGCCTTAATGTGTCATATCATGCATCGCAACTCTGATCCCACTCCATTTTCGAAGTTATTTTCGGGAAATATCTTTGTATTCCTTCCGTTTTAACTGTATCGCTTATGCGAAGACTACTGAGCATAAAAGGACAGCTATCAATCACCTTTATTGTATATATATATATATATATATGTATATATATATATATATATATATATATATATATATTAAGAATATAAGGGACTTCAAACAATCCATTGTATAACCCAACTAGCTACCTTGTTAGGTGATGGTGTATTTTGACTGATTTTGGCGATTTGGTACCGATCATCCGAGAATAATTTAACCCATCTAAGTAGTGGGTCACAGATTTCAACAGAATATAGTTTATCACATGATGTGCTGTTAGGCACCTTGTCAGCTGTTCATCCTTTTTTAGCAAGTTAGTTTTTTACGGGATGGAGTCACTCACTCCATTCCCAACCCTCCTCCTTTGTCCAGGCTTGGAACCGGCATTAGCATCAGGAGACTTCAGGTGGAGTTTTGCTTGTCAGCTGTCAAAGACATATCAAAATAAAAGACTATATGCATTTTTCGAAATTCGCGGCATTGTGTTATATTGGCAAACAACTCAAAGTTATATTCAGCACGACCCACCTGTCAGTAAATCATATTGTGATGTAAAGATAGGATTTCACATTGGTTAGTGATCTGAAGTACTGCCTTTTACAACCTTCTCCGTGATTTGTTAAATAGCTAGGGTGATATTTATGGGTCTGCAACTAGCAGCATTCGCTGTGTCCCCAGTCTCATATTGTAGGATAATGTAGCTAGTTTTCCAATTACTCGAGTATACACTTGTGTCTGATGTCATAGCGAATATCCTAGGAAGTATAAATTTAATAGCATCGTCATATATTTCAGAAAATATATAGAGGATGTCGTAAGTTTCTATACCTATTGTAGTCTTAAGACGTTTTACTTCTTCAGATATATTCTTAGCACAAAAACATACATTTACTCGGTAATCGGGTGTAAGTGGTAAGTGGTTGAGTTTGACGATTGCTCTAGATTAACGTTTGCGAGCTAATCACTAAATACGTTACATATATCGTAGGATTATTGTAGTTTTGTGAAAGCTTGCTAATATTATCGACATTCCGGATGTTTTATGTTCTCACTCTTACATTGAGCACAGCATCCCAGAAGTAGCAGTAAACTTTGAGAGCCAAACTAGGAGTGCAGATATAAAAGCACTGAAGGTTAGCGAGTTGTAGATAAGGTATAATAAAGAAGAGTTTGTGGTTTATTTCCGGATAGGGCTGACCAGAGATATTTCATGTAAGCAAGCACAAATAAACTTGGTGACTGGAATATCCGTGCCCGAGCAAAAGGGTTGATGTAAGATGGTGTGGATGAAGACTTAAAAACTCATGTATCTTAATACAGTTGGGTCCTAGAAATGTATGATCACTTGGTCTGCTTTGATGCTATGGGCGGTTTATCAGAAACTCATTGCGGACAATGTACGTTTACAGCATCAGAAACTAGCTTCCCAATCATTAGTCGTTGATCGAATAATAAAGATAAAAAATAGTCACTTTTGACCAAACTCCAAACGATAGCTGAATTTTATTTCACGTCTTATAGGAACCTCATTTTCTTATATAATTGTACCTATATTGCTGATATGTAAACCTTATCGTCCTTAGAAGACAGCGATCACAATATACTGCGCTTGAGGTTTCCGAAACATTTCTGGAAAAAACTGTTTTATCGAGCTGAGTGGAATGAAGTGTACATAACTTGGCGCTTACGAGTTTTATACTAGCAGAGTACGATCCATTTCATCATCATACATTCAGATCAACATTGGTTCCTGTATTCTTCTTTCCGGAGTTAAAAATGAACCGAGAAGTTACTAAATTGCAGAAAGTTATTCCGTAAATTGATCCTTGCAGTCGATCATGAAACATTCAAATCCAAGTTCTGGGAATTCATGAATGGATGTAAAATGACCATAAAATCTCGTCTGGTAAAGAGAAGGCCGTATATATCAATCGTACCTATCCTAAAGAACAGTCATTTTGTGCCAGGAGAAGTATTGGACGACTTAGTTGAATTTCTCTGTGGTTAATAAAAATTGATAAAATTCCCAAGGCTGTTCGCACAAAACATACTGACTTTGACCCAGTTGATGTTCTAGTCGATTTGGTAGTAAGACGGCCTGAGAATTAATGCTGAGAGTATAATTTCAATACGGTTCAGCGGTGGACGTGGATCCCGTCAAGATTTGACCACTATAAGTTTTGAAACAAAAATTGCAACAGATGAACTATAAGATATGAACCGAAAATGGAGGCGAACTATGAAGTGTTAGCTGATCAGGAAGTTACTTGCAATGAACTAAGTCAATAGATCTTTCGTAAGGGACATTTTTGCAGCTTTTTAGTTTGCCTATAAAAGAAGTGGTTGAGAAAATTCAAACGAAGCACCAGGTCCATGCACCGTTGAAGATGATGAGAATGTCCAAGCTGTAGGTCAACCTAACACCACACTTATACAGTCATAGAAACCTTCAAATTGGTTTTCTTCATTGTAAAACAAAACTTTATCGCTCCAAGCAGCTATTATTTTGAACAGTGAAATAAGTGTCAACATGACCTGTCTTTTTATTCACTCTGGAGTTAATGATATTCGAGTACATGGCAAAAAACCGCACATTATGTCTCCGCTTTTTACTTATAGTTGACTACCAGAGAGCTCTTCTATATGGATCTGAACTAGTTAGTACGAGTAAAAGTCATTTAAGGAAAACTGGGTCCATACGAAAATACTTGCGGAGACAATACACATGAATTAACCTATTCGAAATTATTACTGTTGAGGTTACTAAAGTAGTAGTGCATATGAACAAAACACTACCAATAGAATTAAAACAAGTGATATAGATAAATAAACAATCGACCGATGTGATAAGTGGAAATCAGAGACGTTTTTGTGCAATCTAATTTCGAGGTTGTGATATTGAGCTGTTGTTTGAGTTATCTGGCACGGAGCTCACATTTTCAAAAACGATGTCGCGTGACGGGAAGTAGGTGTTATTTGTTTCTTTATCATGTACTTAGAACGGCAGTTCGGCTTATGCGGCCTGGTGTTGTTGTCTTAGTTTTGGCCGGACGTTATGCAGGCAGGAAAGCGATCGTCATTAAGAGCTATGATGAAGGTTCAGGCGATAAACCTTATGGGCACGCTTTGGTTGTCGGGATTGACAGATATCCGAGACGCATCCTCAGAAGAATGGGGAAGAAACGGATGGAAAGTCGTTGTAAAATCAAGCCTTTCGTGAAAGTCGTGAATTACAACCATTTGATGCCTACAAGGCATTCAGTGAATATTGTTTTTGACACCAAGATTATCAATAAGAATTCATTGGGGGACAAGTCTTTACGAAAAAAGGCTAAATTAGAGGCCAAGCTAAAACTACAGCAAAGGTAACTCATTTTTCGTTTCGCTCATTTCACATAGGTACAAATCAAATGAAAATCCTTGGTTTTTCCACAAACTACGTTTCTAATGAAAGGATTATTATGAAAATAATAAAAATGGGGTAGTCACAATTGTTTTGACACACTGACTTTTAACTTGGGCTGTTTATTGGGTAGTTTCATCAATGCACGGCTTTAGCAGTACACGGATTTTGCCACTATTCTGATTGATGCGTTGTGACTTGATTTACATGTAATATTTGCTAATTGTACCCAAATCAAATAATCTTTAGTCTAAGCAATGTGTCGATGAGACTTTGATTTTAGTCATCATCAGTACATTACGCTTCGTGTCAGTTGATCTCAACAACCCATGGTTTCGGTCAGTGTGTAGTAGGTGCTGTTAGTGTTGATATTGTTGAGGTTAATATTCCCTATATACAGGGGACTGTCATTTTATGTGACTACTTAATAAAACTGTTCAACCGCCTAGAAATGTAAATAATTACAAACAATGGTTGTTTGTCATCGTTTATGACTGACGTCCGAAGAGTTCCTGCATTAAATTATGACATTTATTTTCCTAGTTCATAATTTTAGCTTCAAGTTCCTGGCTTAAAGCGAATAAACTTCTGACTCCACATTTATTCCTAAACATTCTCTGTGTTGTGGATTAAATCTTTAGGTTAGAGTCTTAGTGTGGCCCATTAAGAAAACCACACGGGTAGTACCACAGCTCACACACAAATCAAGTGACTTGTGTGTAGCATATGTATTCGGCATTCCTTTGTACCAGTATTTATGTTCAAGTTTATAATGTTCTGGATGAACAGTCGGATATTACTAGTCCCGTCAGGAAGTATCACGTATTTTTTTTCTAAATATAAACATAGTGCACCGTTCTCAATCTTTGTTCAAAAAAATTATTTGATTATCCCACTGGTTAACGGACATTGTCGCGTCTCAAATAGTTGTCTAAGACGTCCGGTCATATTTTACACAGTTATAGTTGAATTCATTTGCTGAAATTTTGACCTGGTGTGTCAATATAGACGCATTTAAGTATTCGTTGACTATGTTGATTTAATCTTAAACTCATTTTTCCGGCCGTTAGCGTTTCTAAATAAATCTATTCATAGTGTAATGTAAGGCGCTGCAACAAAATTTACATGCGTTCCAACTAGCTTGTATATTTTACTTAGTATCTAATGAAGGTCACTTCCTCCGAGTTTAGTTTATGTTTATCAGGAATGTCATTAAATATTACACACTCCGTAGTAGTGTCGTGGGATTTATACTTGAATTCATTTTCCTTTAGTTTCTTGCGACATGTCTTCATTATGCACTAGTTTTGTTAAATTATCAGCATTTCTGGTGTCTGATCTCAGTGCTTTCCATACAGGTTATACAGAGACAATAGGAATTATGGTTAACATCAAAAAGTAAAGATGTATGCAGGTGTACACGTCTTGATTAAAGTCACGTTAATGTTTGCGCTTCGTGATCGTGGTCCTTAAAGAATTGTGATTTGATGCTTCACCACCTTTCAAATCCTGCCTCGTGGTCTCATGTTTTTAGTTACTACTCAATAAAACACGGATGGCGGTGTTGTCGTGATCGTCATAGCCAATTTAATGTACCATTGAACTGGCCGATTGTTTCTACTTGACTTTATGGTATAATACTTCTTGTTTTTACCTAGCCTTTATAGACCTCAAACTGATTCCGACGTTAAGTAGATCTGTAATTAGTAACTGAATTTACTGTCACCTCATCAGATTTGCTAACTTTCTTCCACATGTAGACGAGAATGCCATGGGAGATACTCTAAATGAGGTTTATAAATTATTCATTAAGTTCAGGCTGAATAGTGTACTTTGGATATCAGGGTACTTAGTTGTATCATACATCGTCTAACCAATTAAAGACTTGCTGGTCATGTTCTGGTGTATTCTCGATTATCGTTAAAAATAAATAACCTACAATTAAACACCACAGGTACAATCTCAGCTTGTTTAAAGTATAGTTGATTCGACTTTGTGGGGTTATATTTCATTTAGACATTAATTTTCGTATACATGAATTGGCATATTTTATTTATACTTCATCAGTCAGTCAGCTACAACGTAGGAACAGGCACATATATGCATCGGTTCAAGTTGCCGTACTGCGTTAGCACGGCAAGATGAACACCGGATACTTTACCATACAACTAGCGAATATATTTTTCAGAACGTTATTGAGTATAAATAGCACGTATCCCGCAATCTGATACTTGAAGATGTTCTTTTTTTTCATTCAACCGAACTATGGATCTTATTGTACAGAATTCTGTTTTGATTTGTAGTTTCAGTTCTACTTACAAAACAAACGCATGAGTAAGGTCTATGAACGCTTTCCGAAATTATTTATCATTCTATATTCGCAACGTGGAACGTTTTTTCTGGGTTGTTATTATAGCATAGTTCTTCAGTCATGTACTCTACTATCGAACTAACTTCTAGGTCGATATCACGAGTTTGTTGAGTAAACTTCTTATGTGCTGGCTACAAAGTTTTGTTTTTTTGCAATTTTAGCAGATGGATAAATTTTTCATCATAGAATCGTACATTATTTGGAAGAAAACGTTCTAGTAGTGACAGCTAAGTTGCTTTACGTGGCATTTATAAATAACTGGAACGTTGCTTCACAAATATTGCAGACTGTTTGATAACGCCTATCCCAAATGATAATATACAATATACTACGGGAACATACAGTTATATAGATGAATTAAAGGTTATGTACCCCCTCATACTAATAAGATCTGTAAGTTTACTTTTCAGTCTCACTGGCTTTCAGTTTGTTAGTAGTATTGAATAAGTCGAATACGTCACGTTAACTAGACCAGTCGCAAGCTCATTATGGAACATTGAGGAAAAAAGTCGAAGCAAACATGACTATGTTCTGAATATCTGTTTATTTAAATTGTCAACCTGTGTAGCTAAAGTGAATGGTTGTGTGCGAAGTAGAAGCTTTCGCTTCACGAGTTTACGTGTCTGACAGAATTGAATCACCGATTCCTCCAGGTAGAGCCCTAGGTACCTAGAAAGTAGTACCAGTAAATTATGAAATAGTTACAAGTTCATGAGTATATATCACGTTTCCTCTTCTAGGACTACGGGGATTTTCATGAAACTGCCTAGGTCAGCAGCAAATTTTAAAAAGTGACCGCTTGCATTGCATCGAAATTATACCTGCATCCCAGCTCACCTGGTATTCGCCCTAAGGTTTGTGTTGCGACTGAACCTAATTAGTTACTTACGAGAATGTTTAGGGTGCTGTAGGTCGTTTGTATTTTGATGACTAAAGACAGCGATGTACGACATACTACGCAGAACTGGAATTCGAGTCTGTGGACTGATTTCATTCCACACGTTTATATATGCTTTTGAGTATTTCATCTTTTTTAAGTAAAAAAGGGAGACACTATTACAATACTCTAAGTGTGGGCGAGTAAAACTTAGGAATCAAGTGGTTTTACTGTCCAACAAAAAAAAATTCGCTTTAGTTACTAGTGTAAGGTTATCCCTGAGCTCTTTCTTACTTTATACATTTTTGAAATTGGGGCATTCCCACTGTGGGGTCGCTTTTGTTGTCTGTTTAGCTTATGACAGATCCCAGATGGACTAATTTGAATCTCGGAGGGCCAAGAGTAGGATCATTTTTATTTCAGTTTTCTAAGTCGAACCATATGTTGGTTCACCACCTTAGTCTCAAGCTAAACATCGGCAATGAAAAATAGTAGCTTAGATAACACTTGTTTGGAAAGATCGCATGCAAAAACCAAAAATGTCCTTTGACGAGTCCTAAGATACTCCGTAGCCTGAAAAAATGTGAAGTCTGTCCTGACCCAAAATAGTCTTATTCAGATACGACTGTATATATTCACTGATCGTTGCTAGTTTTATTGCTTAAATCTTTCTAGTTGCGAAGAATGTTGCACATATATCATCTCTGTGACATTTTATGTACATCAACTTGCTCCGTCATCTTGTGAACTTGTTTTATAATGGTCGTATTGACTAATTATCACATTGCTAAGTCAACAATCGCAAACATTCTGCTCTTTACAGTCATTTGAAACTCTTGTATTAGCTATGGTGTTAAAAATAACGAAGTATTATTCGGCTTCGTACTAGAATTTTGACTAAAAATCCAGTACATATAACTCAAGTAATCAAACTTTGTACAGTAGGGTAAGTTAATTTGTCGTTTGCCTGAATTATCCAAAGGATCCCAGAAGCAATATCATCCACTAATCTAGTTACCACTGGTTTCCCAAAAGGTAGAAGAGCATTTAGATTGGGTAAGACTCGCAACTGGGATGCTATCCTACATCTTTTCTGCTTAGCAGAAATAATGTACTCCGTTATTCTTTGGCACAGACCGTGGGTCTCCGGCTGTTGTAGGACGCTTTGTTTTTACCACTGTTAAACGTGAGTATTTGCAAATTATGATATCCTATCCAAGCCACAAGGAGTTTGATGAGACAAGGTGTTCATATGGGACTTTCGTATTTTTCAGAATAATCTGTTAGCGACTCAAGAAGTACTGATCCTAATCAAATTCTCCAGAAGCAGCGTTATGGTGGTTGAAATGGAAATGGTTGTGGACGGAATAGAAGAAGCTTTCGCTTAACAGGCTTCCGTGTCCTGTAGCAAGGGATCACTAAATCCTCCAGGTAGGAACCTAGGTATGTTAAAAATAAAAGAGGAAAAGAAATTAGTAAGTCATAGTGTGATACTATCCTTAGTCCTTAAGAATAGATCGAGTTGCCTCTTAAAGGACTCCTGGGAAGTCGCTTGGACTAGCTCGGCCAGCAGCGAATCCTAGCATTTGACAACTTATAAGGAGTAGATGTTGTGTCTCCAGTTTTTAGGTGTCACCTCTTAGGTTAGTGTTAGAACTAAACTAAAGTAGGTGTTTGAGAGGATGTCCAGAAGTGTTAAGGATACTGTAAGCCACCAGGTCACTTCTAAGACATCTATACTTTAATGGGTAAAGGTTAAGTGAATGGAGGCGCTCTTCGTAAGATTAAAATTTGAGTCCTCGAGCTGGTTTCGTGGCTCGCCGTTGGATACTCTCTAGGTGTCCTCATCCTTTTGGAATGAGGGGGAAATACTATGTTTCCGTACTCTAAATGGGGACGGATAAAACGTGATGGTATTCCCCTGTTATTGCTACACGAAAATTCAGAATTACTAGCTGAATCAGATCGAACAAAAGCTGAGACTTTTTCAGACTACTTTAGCGAAGTCTTTTCTACGTTTATTGTAACAAATGTTTGTCCCACTCACACCGAGATACCAACCATTGAATCTGTACAGGTGACTGAGGAAACTGTCCTTCCGTTGATAACTAACCTCAAACCTGGTAAGATACCGGGCCCTGACGGGTTACATCCACGGTTGCTGTCATCTCTTGCGGACATTATTTCAAAACCGCTTGCGACACTTCAACATGTCCCTCTCACTCACTCAACTCCCTAGAGATTGGAAGGACGCTATAGTCAGTCCTATATTTAAGGACGGTCAGCGACAGATAGTATCTAACTACCGGCCTGTCAGTCTAACTAGCATAGTCGTTAAGTTACTCGAAAAGATAATTCGGGTTAGGTTGCTAAGCCACATAGATTTACACAATCTGTTAGCTCCTGAGCAAGCGTTCATGTTTGACTAACTTGCTTATTGCGAGGGAGGATTGGACAGCATTCCTAAATAACGGTCTGTCTGTCGATGTGATATTCATAGATTTCAGCAAAGCATTTGACAAGGTTTCACACGTAGGTCTTATGCAGAAGCACACGAGCTTCAAAATAATAGGTGGATAAGAAATTTCTTATGTGACCGCAGACAGAGAGTGAGGGTCAACGGAACGCTATCCGATTGGAAGCCGGTCAAAAGTGGTGTACCCCAAGGCACCATCTTAGGCCCTCTGCTCTTCTTTCTCTACGTTAATGAGTTACCGCTGTTACTTAGGTCGTCGACATTATTGTTTGCGGATGATGTAAAAATCTGGAGAACAATAAAAAGTGCGGCTGATCATGTGGATCTTCAAGCTGACTTAGACGATTTAGTTAGATGGGCTCGAGAGTGAGGCTTAGAAATCAATGCTAGGAAGTGTACTAATGTACATTGGTCACGGTATCAGTTACCGTTACACTATTGAGGATAAACCTCTTCCATGCGTTCAAGAGCATAAAAACTTAGGAGTAGTATTAAGTCGATTTAAAAACAACTACGCATTGCAAAGAAGCCGCTGTCAAAGGTTTTCGTGCGTTATGGTCACTTCGCCGAGCGTTCAAATCTTTTGACGAAGAAACGTTTCGAATTTTATATTCCATATATGTTAGAGCACATTTAGAGTACTGTATCCAAGCAGCCAGCCCGTGTCTGGTAAAGGATACTAACTCCCTTTAGCGTGTAGGGTCTTTCTAGACTCCCTTTCGATGAGCGTTTAAAACGCCTAAATCTTTTCCCCTTGTCGTATCGTAGAACACGAGGTGACCTTATACTGGCATTTCGTATCTTTAATTATGATTTGGGTGTTAATATGTCTTATCTTTTTGGTCCCTCCAGCACTAATAATCTCCGAGGTCATAGCAAGAAGATTCATAAACCACGATCTAATAAACTTAAAGTAGGATCCCGCTTTTCTCATCGAGTAGTCAATCATTGGGACGCCTTACCTGAACAAGTGGTATTAGCCCCATCAGTGAATACTTCCAAGGAGAAGCTGGACCTTTACTGGAAAGCAATGTGCCAGTATTAATACAGGTTCACCAACCTACTATCCTTATTACGGAAGACTGATTATATGGAAAGTTCTTCAGTCAAACTGGCCAAAAATGCGCTTCAATGTTACCAGTGCAAGGTTTGCTCGGAAGGCATTTTTGTCACAGGATAAGACTTTAAATCGTAGGGCACCAGGACTCCTAAATCTTTTTTGACTTGGGATACTACTAGAAAGAAGGTTTATGGCTTGAGATGTTTATATTCTAATCCAAGCAACGTAGTGAGTTTTAACTAAACAATGCAAGAATCATAACGGGGAATCTTTGTTTCATAGTTTTTGTTGCGTAACACATATGTACGCACATTTCATTCTCCTAACTTTAAAGAGAAGTGCGACCTAAGACCCCGGAATTTCCCTCAGTGTGAGGTATTTTTCACCAAAATGTCGACTTATTTTGAGAAAATCCCAGTGCCTTGAAGAAAAAGACCAACATATTGAACGGAAAGCGACGACAATTTTTGAAATAGCAATTGAAATCGTATCATTGTCTAAATACGGCGGACGTCGGTTGCGTTTTACTAATGCTTGTGCTACGTTTGTTAGGAGATCAGCGCTACTGCATGCAAAGCCTGTCTACTGTAGTTTTATGCTTGTGTCTGGTTTCCTACAAAAAAGTGGAAGGGTCACGGTAACAAGCTGCAGGGGATCGGTCAGTCTGGAAGTGGCGCCTGTAGCGCATTTGTATCATCCTCACGCCTATTTTTCATTGTTCGAGGTTGAAGCGCCTCACCAGTTGTGACTCTTAGTCCTCCATAAATTTGCTGCTTGAAGGTCATTGTGTTCTGCGAAAGTGTGCTAAGGGTCAAAAGAGGTGAGAAATCTGAGCACGAACACCGAAGGCTCATGTAATAAATTGGCATTCGAGGAAAAACAATAGACATTAGCTATATTGCTTTATCGCCGCATATCACAAAACCTTCCTGTATGTATTATCTGTCTGTCTTTCATACATTTTGGCTGCATTCGTTCTGTCAGCCTCGAAACTGTCGAATTTCTTATTAGCTAAAATGTCTTCCTGTATTTCATGATGTCTATGTATATATATACATATTAGCAACTGACATGTAATTTTGCGGGACAGCGATTGCCAACACACGAGTCACTTGTTTTTTTAGGTTGTAAAGGCGTTAACATGCAAGTCCGTTCGTACGTTATTTACAGTTTGTTTGCTAGTGATGTTTCTGAAACTAATGATATCTGAATGAGTTCATCTTTAGAGGTGTACACATAACCTATCGACAAAAACTTGCCCAGCTATTGCGATACGGCTTGATGACACAAATATTATTGTGCATGGGAAAGGTCACTGGTCAAAAAACTTTTGACGATAGTTTCTTAGAAGGATTGCCATATCTAGTTTTAACCAACAGTTAAAAGTGACTCTCGTTCAATTCCAACACGTTATTGTAGATGAACTAGTTGCATTTGCTGCACGGATTCTAGAGATAACTTTCCTAAATTAGAACTGTTCGAATTAAACACGGAGTTTGAGTTTTGGAACAATTTAATACGAGCAGCTCAAGACGCTTTGTGTGCTATGAAGAAGAACTTAGTCTGACTCAATCGGATAGATATTAGTTCGTTATTCCTGTGTCCAACCTGGATCTTGGCATTTCGGCATTTAAAACAAGAATGCCCTAACTAGAAAGGAACTTTACATTTTTGTAATATCATGATTTTCGAGAAATCTCGTACTCGCGCTAACGGTAACTTTTTTCAGTGGATATAGCTGTTCTTCATACATCTTGTAGTGATAGGTTATATAATTCAAAGTGTAAATCACCAACGTAGATGATCTATGTCGAAATGATTGGATGCCTACTCGAGTTAGACGTGAATGGTGTGACAAACTAGCTAACGTCGAAGTCGCACCTCGTGGTCAGCACCTTACGTGGACTATCCCATTGAAGTATCAAGGTGATGTAGATGCTTTGAAGACTGTACGACGCAGAGGACGTTATTACAGAAATATATTAATTAAAGTAGATACAAGCGAAAGTAAATCCACTGCCGCATGGGCCAGACTATGGCATACGATTAACAGATGTGCGTTGGTCGCACCTGACCTTGACGAGGATGGATGATTTTCTCGATATTCAATGACCCAATTGCCGGGTGATTTGACTAGGGCTTAGTGACATTTCTCCGGCCATACCATCACTTGTATGATGACTGTTTTTCGTTTACTTTTGCACTGAGAAGTTGGTGTCCTCCTTGTGAATACTAACGATCTTTTACAAGATCTGATGAGGAATATAAAACTGATCCTTTTTTTGCAACTTAATGTACGTTTGCGCGAAGCCATTCATTTAATTTTCTGCAGATATGACCATTCGAACTCTCTGTATGAATCCTCTAGATAGCTCATGAATACAAGCTAACGGATGTTAGTGAACGTATATAGCAAGTTATTTTTTTATGCGGCGGTAAGGATTATTGAATTTCACTTAATTCATGAACTTATTTAGGCTATAATAATAATAGTAATTAATTAATTTCAAATAACAGTTTGTTACATGAGCCATGCCAGTTTACTGGCAAGATCAAATTGTTACAATTGATACAATATCCACTGTAGTAAATTACTCAGCTGGGTTGATAATTTAAAAGATATAAATGTTAATGGTTTCAGTCAGCATCACAGTTGGCGCGCTTCATAAAAGTCGCGCTGCGAATGTGCGACTGATGGTCAAGGATAGATCCATTGAAAGTGAGAGCTTCTATAAATCGAAACCTTATATCCCTTTGGAATATCTAAGGCTTTAAGGATGGTGCAGGATGAAGTCACCTATTCCATATCTCAAGAGGGCTGAAAGAGGGAGCAAGTAAAAGAAAGGACGAGAGGTAGAGTAGCCAATATTCATGAAGGAATGTTCAGAGCATGATTACTCAGTCTGATTTTCTT